TAAAGACCTGAAAATGCGATGGGTGTTGTTCATTGTGCCACTAATATTGTATGTATATTGTAAGCTTTTATCTAACTGTATGTACTGTGTGTTTGAGGGTTTTATTGTGAATGCCTCCTGGGACAACCCTGGAAAAGAAATCATTGAATCTCGGTGAGTTTCTTCTGCTCGAATAAATGTTAAATAACAAAACACATGCACAGACACAGAAGTAAGAGCGTTGTATGACACTCATTTTATCCCCTTTTTAGTCCATTTCTGGCTCAGGTGGGGCCTATGCTGATCCTCCTGCAGGGGGTGGGTCTACAGGCCGACTTCAGGCAGAGTGTCTTGCTCAAGGACACAACGACAGCAGACATAGTTGTGTAACATGTTGAGTGAAATTCTTTGTAACCACAATGCAGATGTGACGATGTACAACATGAAACCACATGTGTCCAGTGTCACTTTGTGCCATAGCCTCATGCTGCTAACATGTGCACATAGACGTCAGGACTAGGGGTGCGGGGGTTGCGGGGGGTGTGGGGGGGGTTTGACCTTGTCCGCTCAGACGCCTATGAGTCCCATGAATGCGACGTTTCTACTCTGCTTGAACAATTCATCAGTAGGTCACTGAGAGACGGTCCACTTTTGGAAAAAAAATGAAAGTTCTTATTTGATTGCAAACTGTTCCACTTCTTTTATTGTCAGTGTTGCGCAATTTATCTTTTTAATAATAATAATAATGCATTGGTTTTATACAGCGCTTTTTGGACACTCAAAGACGCTTCACATGAAATTATTCTTTCACTCCATACACGGTGGTGATAAACTACTACTGTAGCCACAGCTGCCCTGGGGCACACAGACAGAAGCGAGGCAACCAGTCTGTGCCATCGGCCCCTCCCACCACCACCAACCATTCACACACACACAAGACTCATTCTAGGCAATGGGGGTAAAGTGTCTTGCCTAAGGACACAACAACAGTTTAGCACTTTACAGCCGCCCCACTGTGGCGCGTGTTCCCAGAGGTTAAGTGTCTTGCCAAGGACACAACGACAGCAGACAGTGGGAGTCAGTGGTGAAGATCAGGCTTGAACCCACAACCCTCTGGCTCAAAGGCCAATGCTCCACCAACTGAGCTACTGTCGCCCATCTTTTCTTGATGCGTAATTGTTATTTGGAGCCGTGTGTGCGTCTGACAGTGAGTACCTTCAGCAAACTTGTGATTGTTAAGCCAGCTTTGAAATGAACTATTTCCAATAAGTACCTTACTTGATTTATATTGTTTCATTTTTGTTTTCTTAACAATTAAGATGCTATGTTATTATCCAGTCTAATCCAAGTTTGCGTCTCTCCCTCGACTCTCCCAACAAAAACCTGCCCCCCCCTCTCTCAGAAAATAGTTCTGACGTCCAAACATGTACAGATACACACATACAAGTTAAACTATATATTTCTTTCACTAGAATATAAAGAATCTTAAACTTAAACAGAAATCCTTAGTCAAAGTCATTTTATTCATGCAGTAACAAAATACATATAAGTATCTGCAGAAAGACAACAGCAAACATTGACGTTCGACTCCACCCATGACCACAGTCCAAACCAGTTTATTTATATGGCACACTTGAACAACAGGACTGCTGCACACAAGACCATAAACACAATGAAGGCAAAACAGTACAAATTAGCTCCATTAATGAGTATAAAAATAATACTTAGAAATATGAAAAGCATTAAAGATAAAAAATAAATGAAAAACAGGGGATTCAAAGTCACAGAATAATAAAACAACTTCCCTGTGTATACTGTATGTTGTTTACTGTTGCTCTGTGGCGACTGGACTCCCAAAGAAGACATCTTACTTCAGAGGTGCTCATCGATTACATTCACTTCAATTTATTTGTGTATAACAGTAGTTACCGTTACATTATTTGCTTGGTGAATGCTTGTGTTGCATATCAATAAGGTGAGTGTGTGGGGAGGATTCAATGGTAGATCGTAAATTGGAAAGAGGAGTTTGATTGATTACAGTAAAATCTCTAAACCCAGGTCTGCAAACACCTCAGTTCTTTAGTTTCTGTGTTTTTCACAGGTCGACTTCTTCTCACAGATGTATTTCTGAAGCATGTTGCAGTCTTTGTCAAACCAACATTTCATCTCAAAGGCGGGGTCCTTCTCTCCCATCCGCACACAGTCTTCTCCTTCAGGATTAGTACCCTTCCAATTGTCTGGTTCAGTTTTGTCACCATTTGTACTCTTAAACCAAAATTGGGAACTAAACCACAAATACAAAATGAACACAGAATAATGAACAGAGTTTATTTCCATTGGACAAGACCTGATTTGTGCAAAAAATTTACCTTGAGTTCAGCAAAGAGCCGTCGGTCCACCTCCACTCTCCCTCCCTCTGTCAGTCAGGCGGTTGTGTGTGGGGGGTCGGGGTGGGTTTGTGAGTGTGTGTTATCTATATCTATAAATATGAGGCACAAACAAACTTGTTAAGAAACTATCACTACTATTAAGAAAAACTATACTTTTCTCAGTCCTTCTCACAAGTCTCTCCGCAGTTTGTGATCTCCTGAGACCTTGGCCAATCTCAGATCCATAATTGAAAACCAACATTGATTGTGGTGTGTCTTTTTTATTCACTTCTTCCAGCAGTCAACATGACGATCAAGAAAGGAAAGGGGAAGAAAGTTCCTCAAAAAGTCTATTCCACAGACTGAAAGGACAATAGGCCCAACCCAATAAGAATACATTACATTCCAAATTGCTTTCATGGCTCTGGACTTAAAATACTTACACCAATATTTTGGTTAGCTTAACCACCACTCTGACTTGTACTGTCTCGTTGGATGTGTTTCGGGAAAAGGAGGAAAATGCCTTCTCAATATCGCGCTCCAAATACTTGTTTAACCACGGCGTCTTGTACCTTTAGAACTTTAACTTCTAAAGACCTGAAAATGCGATGGGTGTTGTTCATTGTGCCACTAATATTGTATGTATATTGTAAGCTTTTATCTAACTGTATGTACTGTATTTTTGAGGGTTTTATTGTGAATGCCTCCTGGGAAAAACCCTGGAAAAGAAATCATTGAATCTCGGTGAGTTTCTTCTGCTCGAATAAATGTTAAATAACAAAACACATAAAGAGACACAGAAGTAAGAGCGTTGTATGACACTCATTTCATCCCCTTTTTAGTCCATATCTGGCTCAGGTGGGGCCTATGCTGATCCTCCTGCAGGGGGTGGGTCTACAGGCCGACTTCAGGCAGAGTGGGGGTGTCTTGCTCAAGGACACAACGACAGCAGACATAGTTGTGTAACATGTTGAGTGAAATTCTTTGTAACCACAATGCAGATGTGACGATGTACAACATGAAACCACATGTGTCCAGTGTCACTTTGTGCCATAGCCTCATGCTGCTAACATGTGCACATAGACGTCAGGACTAGGGGTGCGGGGGTTGCGGGGGGTGTGGGGGGGGTTTGACCTTGTCCGCTCAGACGCCTATGAGTCCCATGAATGCGACGTTTCTACTCTGCTTGAACAATTCATCAGTAGGTCACTGAGAGACGGTCCACTTTTGGAAAAAAAATGAAAGTTCTTATTTGATTGCAAACAGTTCCACTTCTTTTATTGTCAGTGTTGCGCAATTTATCTTTTTAATAATAATAATGCATTGGTTTTATACAGCGCTTTTTGGACACTCAAAGACGCTTCACATGTCATTATTCTTTCACTCCAAACACGGTGGTGATAAACTACTACTGTAGCCACAGCTGCCCTGGGGCACACTGACAGAAGCGAGGCAACCAGTCTGTGCCATCGGCCCCTCCCACCACCACCAACCATTCACACACACACCAGACTCATTCTAGGCAATGGGGGTAAAGTGTCTTGCCTAAGGACACAACAACAGTTTAGCACTTTACAGCCGCCCCACTGTGGCGCGTGTTCCCAGAGGTTAAGTGTCTTGCCAAGGACACAACGACAGCAGACAGTGGGAGTCGATGGTGAAGATCGGGCTTGAACCCACAACCCGCTGGCTCAAAGGCCAATGCTCCACCAACTGAGCTACTGTCGCCCATCTTTTCTTGATGCGCGTAATTGTTTTTTGGAGCCGTGTGTGCGTCTGACAGTGAGTACCTTCAGCAAACTTGTGATTGTTAAGCCAGCTTTGAAATAAACTATTTCTAGTAAGTACCTTACTTGATTTATATTGTTTCATTTTTGTTTTCTTAACAATTAAGATGCTATGTTATTATCCAGTCTAATCCAAGTTTGCGCCCCTCCCTCGACTCTCCCAACAAAAACCCGCCCCCCTCTCAGAATATAGTTCTGACGTCCAAACATGTACAGATACACACATACAAGTTAAAGTATATATTTCTTGCACTAGAATATAAAGAATCTTAAACTTAAACAGAGATCCTTAGTCAAAGTCATTTTATTCATGCAGTAACAAAATACATATAAGTATCTGCAGAAAGACAACAGCAAACATTGACGTTCGACTCCACCCATGACCACAGTCCAAACCAGTTTATTTATATGGCACACTTGAACAACAGGACTGCTGCACACAAGACCATAAACACAATGAAGGCAAAACAGTACAAATTAGCTCCATTAATGAGTATAAAAATAATACTTAGAAATATGAAAAGCATTAAAGATGAAAAATAAATGAAAAACAGGGGATTCAAAGTCACAGAATAATAAAACAACTTCCCTGTGTATACTGTATGTTGTTTACTGTTGCTCTGTGGCGACTGGACTCCCAAAGAAGACATCTTACTTCAGAGGTGCTCATCGATTACATTCACTTCAATTTATTTGTGTATAACAGTAGTTACCGTTACATTATTTGCTTGGTGAATGCTTGTGTTGCATATCAATAAGGTGAGTGTGTGGGGATGATTCAATGGTAGATCGTAAATTGGAAAGAGAGGAGTTTGATTGATTACAGTAAAATCTCTAAACCCAGGTCTGCAAACACCTCAGTTCTTTAGGTTCTGTGTTTTTCACAGGTCGACTTCTTCTCACAGATGTATTTCTGAAGCGTGTTGCAGTCTTTGTCAAACCAACATTTCATCTCAAAGGCGGAGTCCTTCTTTCCCATCCGCACACAGTCTTCTCCTTCAGGATTAGTACCTTTCCAATTGTTTGGTTCAGTTTTGTCACCATTTGTACTCTTAAACCAAAATTGGGAACTAAACCACAAATACAAAATGAACACAGAATAATGAACAGAGTTTATTTCCATTGGACAAGACCTGATTTGTACAAATAATCACCTTGAGTTCAGCAAAGAGCCGTCGGTCCACCTCCACTGTCCCTCTACCGCGGAGTCTGTCAGTCCGATCCAGAACTTATCTTCACCATCCTCCATTAAACTTTTTACTTTATCAAATAGAAACTTCTGAAATAGAAAATAAACATGGTTAGTTTCTGTTGGGTGACCTTTCCCTCCTGTGTCTTGTTGACCAATCAGAACGTGTACTGCTGTGACTTCATATATTGTCGGTGATTGCTGACCCCGTCTCTGTCGGTGGATCTTCTCTTGATACAACACCGTGTAGCAGAGCGCTGCATGTATCTGTAACTGTTTAGTGTCATTAAATACCCTCATTTCTAACAAATGTCTTAGCTTAGTCTTGAATGGAAGACGTAGAGGATTCAGAGGCTGCATCCAAATTCATATAAAATACCTCTGTTTGTGTCCTTTCGATATGTTTGTGAAACGTAATGATATATTCACTCCCCCCTGACCTCCTCAACACTGACTCTCTTCCTCGTTCAAATCCAGACTCAAAACTCACTTTTTCTGTCCCCACATGACCAGTCACCCCAACGTTCAGTTCTGTTGATTTCTGTTTTAATAATGAAAATGTTTTTAATTGCACCATGTTTGTACAGTGTCCTTGGGTGTTTTGAAATGTGCTTTTAAATCAAATGTATTATTATTATTATTATTATATTGAGTGGCATTGATGTAATTGAAAAGGAAGGAGGTATTTTTATGAATTGGGATGCAACCATACGTCTCCGTCAAATGGACAGGGCGTGTCTTTGGTGCCTGAGGAAAACTCAAATGAGGCTTTTTCTGTTGCCTTGAGAACCTTTTGTTATTACATTTTTACTTGATACTGGTCACAGAGATTAGTAATAATTCTGAATGCTTTTTGTCGTATTATGTTGTACCTGGTTTTTTTTTCCAAATATCTTCACCAGGCGACCACTCTTGGATTTGCAATCTTCACGACTCTGATTCCATGTTAATTTATTTGTGGAGAAATGGAAGCACCTCTTTTCCTGTAGCTCCCAGTCGGTGTCACAAACCAACTTGCACGGTGCTATGGGGACAGATGATTAAATATTAAACACCTTTCATTATAATTTCTTTGTCCATGTAACCTATACCTGTGCTGGGGGAAGCAGTGGTGGTTGTACCGTGAGTAGTAGTTGTCATTGGGGTGGAGACTGTGGCTCCTGTCAGTGCATCTGTCTGTGCTCTCATGTGACGACAGACTGTGAAAAAATACAGGCTTTTCACTCCTTCAGTCTCTTCAATTCAAAAACAAACAAAAGTGTACAGTTGGTTCTGTAATTAATAGAAAGTGATGTTACTGTTCTGTTAAAATAAGGAATGGAACCAGGACGACAGAGGTAAATATAAGATAATGTTGGACAAGCTAAACCTCTATTTGTCCCTCAGTGGGGAACTTTCACTCGCACAATACTGCAGAATAAAAGATCAGATTATACACAATTCAAAACAGCTTCTTATATCTTGTCTCAAATGTATAAATATCTTAGTAGTTGCAGTAGTAGTAGTAGCAGCATTAGTAGTAGTAGTAGTAGTTGTAGAAGTAGTAACCAAACTTTTAACATGTTATTAATAAGTAATTATAGACCCATTTCCAATCTTACTTTTTTGGTTTAGATTAGTCTTACTTAAAAAATGGGGTCTGAAAGATACATGCCACAAGGTTCTATACTGGGCCTACTTTTGTTTATAATCTATTCAGTAGTACAACATCTCAAACCATACAAATGATGAAGACACACAACTACATACTGTAATTCTGTATCTTCTCAGGATTTGAGTCCACTACAAACATTGAGCGACTGCATCATGTCAGAGAATAAACAGATCAAAACTTTCTTCAGCTGAGAAGATGGAAGTTTTTATCTTTGGACCTGAACCTTCCAAAGTTATATATACTCTTCATCGTTGCAAGTCTTTAGCCAAGTCAAAAATCTTGGTGTAATTGTTGATTCTGATTTAAATTTGCCTGAACACGTTAACGCCATCACTAAGCCTGCTTCATACTTCCTGAAAAATATAGAGTAAAACACTCTCTGACTAAGCACAAGTTCAAAAACCTTATACATGCTTTTATCTTTGGCACATTGTGTTATTGTAATGATATTTTTATGTATCTCACAATTACAAAAATAGTGTGTTGGTTGGTCTTTTTATTATTATTACTGTCTCATAACTGTGATAAGCGTAACAGTGTGAATCGAGCGCTTAAGCGGCACGTATGGGAGGCCTCGAACCTAAACATGTTTAAAAAGTCGCAGGGTCAAACATTTACATCTATACGAGCAAAATATTACACTTAGCAGAGGGTGCATGTCCCACAGATGACCACTAGGGGTGCACTGAATCCTTTAAATTGTCTTTTTTTGTATGTAGTCCTGGTCAGCGCAGCCGGCTGCATCGCAGCCGGCATGACCCTGGAGCCAGGCCTGGGGTCGGGGCTCGTATGCGAGCGCCTGGTGGCCGGGCCTTAGCCGGGCCCGGCCGGGCTCAGCCCGAAAGGACGACGTGGGCAGTCCCTCCTGTTGGCCCACCACCTGCAGAGGGGTCCGTGGTGGCGAAACGGTGCTGAGAGGACTGGGCAGCGGTCGAAGGCGGAGACCTCGGCGACCCAGTCCGCACACACAACATCTGGCTCTTGGGACGTGGAACGTCACCTCACTGGGGGAGAAGGAGCCCGAGCTCGTGGGGGAGCTCAAGCGATTCCGACTAGAGATAGTCGGCCTCACCTCCACACACAGCTTGGGCTCTGGAACCCAACTCCTTGAGAGGGGTTGGACGCTCCACTTTTCTGGTGTTTCCCGTGGGGAGAGGCGGCGAGCTGGGGTGGCCATACTCATTGCCCCCCATCTCAGCCGCCACGTGTTGGAGTTCTCCCCGGTGAATGAGAGGGTCGCGTCCCTCCGCCTTCGGGTGGGGGACAAGTCTCTCACGGTTGTGACGGCCTACGGGCCTAACAGCAGTGTAGAGTACCCGGCCTTCTTGGAATCCTTGGGAGGTGTACTGGACGGTGCACCGCCCGGGGACTCCGTTATTCTCCTGGGGGACTCAGACACTCGGGTGAAGAGAGGGGGGGAGCTGTCAACCGATCACCACCTGGTTGTGAGTTGGATCCGCTGGCAGGGGAGGAAGCCGGTCAGACCTGGCAGGCTCAAGCGTGTAGTGAGGGTCTGCTGGGAACGTCTCGCTGAGCCCCCTGTCAGACGGACTTTCAACTCACACCTCCGGGAGAGCTTCTCCCAGGTCCCGGCAGAGGAGGGGGACATTGAGTCTGAGTGGACCATGTTCTCTTCCTCTATCGCCGATGCGGCAGCTCGTAGCTGTGGTCGCAAAGTCTCTGGTGCTGGTCCCGGCGGCAATCCCCGAACCCAGTGGTGGACACCGGCAGTAAGGGATGCCGTCAGGCTGAAGAAGGAGTCCTATCGAGCCATGATGGTTCGGGGGACTCCTGAGGCAGCTGTCCAGTACCGGCAGGCCAAGCGTGCCGCAGCCCGGGTTGTTGCAGAGGCAAAAACCCGGGTCTGGGAGGAGTTTGGAGACTCCATGGAGCAGGACTATCGGTCGGCCTCAAAGAGATTCTGGCAAACCGTCCGGCGCCTCAGGAGGGGGAAGCAGTGCTTTGCCAACACCGTGTACGGTGCGGGTGGAGAGCTGCTGACCTCGACTGGGGATATTGTCTGGCAGTGGAAGGAATACTTCGAGGTCCTCCTCAACCCCCCCGTCACGTCCTCCGTCCCGGAGGCAGAGGCTGAAGATGTTGGGGCGGATACTTCCAACTCCCTGGCGGAGGTCACCAAGGTGGTTGGCAGCCTCCTTGGTGGCAAGGCGCCGGGAGTGGAGGAGATCCGTCCTGACTATCTAAAGTCTCTGGATTTTGTGGGACTGTCTTGGCTGACACGTCTCTGCAACATCGCGTGGCGATCGGGGGCGGTGCCAATGGAGTGGCAGACCGGGGTGGTGGTCCCTCTCTATAAGAAGGGGGACCGGAGGGTGTGTTCCAATTATCGTGGAATCACACTCCTCAGCCTCCCTGGTAAGGTTTACTCCAAGGTACTGGAGAGGAGGCTACGGCCAATGGTCGAATCTCGGATTCAGGAGGAGCAGTGTGGTTTTCGTCCTGGTCGCGGAATACTGGACCAGCTCTATACTCTCCATCGGATACTCGAGGGTTCATGGGAGTTCGCCCAACCTGTCCACATGTGCTTTGTGGATTTGGAGAAGGCGTTCGACCGTGTTCCCCGGGCTGTTCTTTGGGGGGTTCTCCGGGAGTACGGGGTCCGGGGTCCTCTGCTGAGGGCTGTTCGGTCCCTGTATGACCGGAGCCAGGGCTGTGTTCGCATTGCCGGCAGTAAGTCAGACCTGTTCCCGGTGCATGTTGGCCTCCGCCAGGGCTGCCCTTTGTCACCGGTTCTGTTCACTGTATTCATGGACAGAATTTCTAGGTGCAGCCTGGGGCCGGAGGGGGTCCGGTTCGGGGACCACAGGATTTCATCTGTGCTGTTTGCGGACGATGTTGTCCTGTTGGCTCCAACGAACCAGGACCTGCAGCATGCACTGGGACGGTTTGCAGCCAAGTGTGAAGCGGCTGGGATGAGAATCAGCACCTCCAAATCCGAGGCCATGGTGCTCGACCGGAAAAAGGTGCCTTGCCCTCTACAGGTGGGTGGAGAGGTCCTTCCTCAAGTGGAGGAGTTCAAGTATCTCAGGGTCTTGTTCACGAGTGAGGGAAGAATGGAGCGTGAGATTGACAGGCGGATCGGTGCAGCGTGCGCAGTGATGCGGTCGCTGTATCGGACCGTTGTGGTAAAGAGGGAGCTGAGCCGAAAGGCAAAGCTCTCGATTTGCCGGTCAATCTTCGTTCCCTCCCTCACCTATGGTCATGAGCTTTGGGTAATGACCGAAAGAACGAGATCGCGGATACAAGCGGTCGAAATGAACTTCCTCCGCAGAGTGGCTGCTCCCTTAGAGATAGGGTGAGGAGCTCAGTCACACGGGAGGAGCTTGGAGTAGAGCCGCTGCTACTCCACGTCGAGAGGAACCAGTTGAGGTGGCTCGGGCATCTGTTCCGGATGCCTCCCTGGGGAGGTGTTCCGGGCACGTCCCACCGGGAGGAGGCCCCGGGGAAAACCCAGGACACGCTGGAGGGACTATGTCTCTCAGCTGGCCTGGGAACGCCTTGGGGTCCCCCGGACGAGCTGGAGGAAGTGTGTGTGGATAGGGAAGTCTGGGCGTCTCTGCTTAGACTGCTGCCCCCGCGACCCAGCAACGGATGAAGCGGAAGAAAACGGACGGACGGACGGAGTCCTGGTCAGATCAGGCTGCGAATTAATCAGCAACTACATCTCATGAAGCTAATGGGAGGTGGTCCTGATGAGGCTTTATTATTATTTTTTAATTATTCCTATAATGTTTTGTTGTTTCCCAATGTGCATGTTAAGCACCCAGGGTTGCTGAATGTGGCTTTATAAATACATTTGCCTTTCTCCTAGTGGTAGTAGTAGCAGTAGTAGTAGTAGTAGTAATAGTAGCAGTAGCAGTAGTAGTAGTAGTAGTAACTCGCGAATGATTTTTGTGATGATGGCAGCCAGAAACAGCAGCATGAGCAGCAGCAGAACCCCAGAGAGCTTCCATCTTCTCTGTGGACTGTCTTCAGACTCAAACTCTGCTAAAACACACTTCCCATCATCACAACTGTAACATCATGTACTCGAGTAAATACTACTTCTATTAAAAAGACAAGCTGCTCACCTTTGTTTTTGCTTCTCCGAGTTTTTCGAGGAACATTATCGTACGCAGATTCTTCAGCCATGTCGCTCATCTTGTTCAACTTCTGTCCAAAAAGTCTCAGTTTGATTCAGTTCTTCTTCTTATAATTAGAAATACATGTGAACTTCCCCTTTAATTTATGTGTGTGTGTGGGGATGGGGGGAAGGGTGTGTTTTATTCACTTCTTCCAGCAGTCAACATGACGATCAAGAAAGGAAAGGGGAAGAAAGTTCCTCAAAAAGTCTATTCCACAGACTGAAAGGACAATAGGCCCAACCCAATAAGAATACATTACATTCCAAATTGCTTTCATGGCTCTGGACTTAAAACACCAATATTTTGGTTAGCTTAACCACCACTCTGACCTGTACTGTCTCGTTGGATGTGTTTCGGGAAAAGGGGGAAAATGCCTTCTCAATATTGCGCTCCAAATACTTGTTTAACACGGCGTCTTGTACCTTTAGAACTTTAACTTCTAAAGACCTGAAAATGCGATGGGTGTTGTTCATTGTGCCACTAATATTGTATGTATATTGTAAGCTTTTATCTAACTGTATGTACTGTGTGTGTTTGAGGGTTTTATTGTGAATGCCTCCTGGGACAACCCTGGAAAAGAAATCATTGAATCTCTGTGAGTTTCTTCTGCTCGAATAAATGTTAAATAACAAAACACATAAACAGACACAGAAGTAAGAGCGTTGTATGACACTCATTTTATCCCCTTTTTAGTCCATTTCTGGCTCAGGTGGGGCCTATGCTGATCCTCCTGCAGGGGGTGGGTCTACAGGCCGACTTCAGGCAGAGTGTCTTGCTCAAGGACACAACGACAGCAGACATAGTTGTGTAACATGTTGAGTGAAATTCTTTGTAACTACAATGCAGATGTGACCATGTACAACATGAAACCACAATTGTCCAGTGTCACTTTGTCCCATAGCCTCATGCTGCTAACATGTGCACATAGACGTCAGGACTAGGGGTGCGGGGGTTGCGGGGGGTGTGGGGGGGGGTTGACCTTGTCCGCTCAGACGCCTATGAGTCCCATGAATGCGACGTTTCTACTCTGCTTGAACAATTCATCAGTAGGTCACTGAGAGACAGTCCACTTCTGGAAAAAAAATGAAAGTTCTTATTTGATTGCAAACTGTTCCACTTCTTTTATTGTCAGTGTTGCGCAATTTATCTTTTTAATAATAATAATAATGCATTGGTTTTATACAGCGCTTTTTGGACACTCAAAGACGCTTCACATGAAATTATTCTTTCACTCCATACATGGTGGTGATAAACTACTACTGTAGCCACAGCTGCCCTGGGGCACACAGACCAGTAAATTTTATTGTAAATGGAATTTGTACGGCCCACACCCGTAATGCCCTGTTTTGGGGATCACTTGAGTTTTCTCCCTGTTGGGTCCTGTGTGCTTGAGTTTTCCTCCCTTTACAGCAAACCACGCTCCTGAGTCCAGTACACGGAAGTGGCCATCGGGAGCTGATTTGATAGTGATACCCTGGGTGCTGATTGGGACAGATGCAGAGGCAGGCCTCTAACTCACACGCAATCACCTGGGAGGACCTGCCCATTGATATCTATCAATCGACTTTTTTTTTGCTGTGGCGCCTTTCTTACACACGCAACACAAATAATATAAATATAACCTGCCAATCTTCTGCGGCTCTGTGTCAGCTAGTCAGTGTAGTTTGCCATTAGTTTGGTGTCTGTGTTTTTTCACGTGTGCAGGCCGCTTATTTAAAGACTTGTAGTGTTTGTTGAGCACTTTTGCTACGCTTTTAGTTCTGTCAATTACTTACTAGTTTTATAGCGTGTTTTACTCCTGTGGGTTTCGGTAAATACTTGTCCTAGTTTGTGTTACCCCCCTTTAGCTATGTGTCAGCCTGAATAAAATTATATTTGAGTTTCCAATTTCTACATCTTGGGTTTTAATTGTTTACTTCCTTTACACTTATGCGGAGCCGGGTAGTAACAAATGTAACCTCTATACAATTACTTAAACTAGATTTCTCTCAGTCTGGAATTATTAAAACCTGCATAAATCAGAACTAAAAATGTTGAACGGGTAAATAAAAACATGACACAATTACTAACGTTTGCATAATTCTCCCGAGCAGCCGGAATGAGATCGTAGTTCTCTGTAAACATTTGTATTCAGAGTTTTCCCAATAACTTGACGGCAGGAGACACAGCAGGTCCATTCTTTTCCAGGTCTGATTTTATTTTCTGGCACGTCCCCAAAAAATACACTGAAGATTTATCGATATGCATCTTGTTCATGTTACAGTGGGATCCTCCCTCGTAATGACACTTCAAAAAGGAAAACTCCAAAGACAAAGTAAAAACACATGTGAGAGCTGGCGTTATGTCCTCCGACACACAACTTAGTCATAACGGTAAGACAATGCCCATAAAAGGACGCACAACAGAAACATGGGAGAAGTTCTGTGTCGAGGAGTCTTAAATATCAAAACAAAAATATTAACACAAAAATCGTTTTTTTAGTGTAGCAAAAAGACGCACATAGTTTTCATAGATAATAAACTTTATAGTAACAGGCAGGTCTAAAATCATTCTTTCTCTCGTGACAAATGAGTCATTAAAAACTTGACAAACACATCATTTTCCCAGACGTTTTTGTTCGACAAGACACTGTACAGCATCGGGGCTGTCCATTACAAAATAATGACCCTTTTTTCCTTCCTGTAGGGTTCAAAGTTCATGACGAGAAGCCCAGAGATTATAAACGGGTTAAACTGTACGAAGGACTAATAAAAAATGTACAAAAACAAATTAGTAAACAGCAATCGGAAAACATGACGTGGAAAAGGTCTTCAGAATAAGGAACATCAGGGACATACCGAGGACCGCCCGAGGACCGCCCGAGGACCGCCCGAGGACCGACCGAGGACCGCCCGAGGACCGACCGAGGACCGCCCGAGGACCGCCCGAGGACTGTCCGAGGACTGTCCGAGGAGATACCAAGGACCGCCCGAGGACAGCCCGAGGACCGCCCGAGGACCGCCCGAGGAGATACCAAGGACCGTCCGAGGAGATACCAAGGACCGCCCGAGGACAGCCCGAGGACCGCCCGAGGACCGCCCGAGGACCGCCCGAGGACTGTCCGAGGACTGTCCGAGGAGATACCAAGGACCGTCCGAGGAGATACCAAGGACCGTCCGAGGACCGCCCGAGGATCGCCCGAGGACCGTCCGAGGACCGCCCGAGGACCGCCCGAGGACCGTCCGAGGATCGCCCGAGGACCGTCCGAGGACCGCCCGAGGACTGTCCGAGGAGATACCAAGGACCGCCCGAGGACCGCCCGAGGACCGCCCGAGGGCAGCCCGAGGAAAGCCCGAGGAAAGCCCGAGGACAGCCCGAGGACCGCCCGAGGACAGCCCGAGGAAAGCCCGAGGACCGCCCGAGGACAGCCCGAGGACCGCCCGAGGAGATACCAAGGACCGCCCGAGGACCACCCGAGGACCGCAGAGGACCGTCCGACCTAAAACAACTTCCAGTTTTCTCTTGATAGAAAATAAACCATAATAAATGCCTTGTGGGTGATTTTGTTCTAGTTTGTTTCCGCCGCGTCACAAAAATACAGACTTCTGCTGCGGATGGAGCGGACACTAAAGGCTCTGTTGACTTGGCAGCGCTGGTAAAGAGGAAACTACTACAAACATTGGACTGGAGCCTAATGCGGTGATTACCTCTGGTTAAAAAACAACAATATTCATTCAGGAGGTTGAGCACCATTGAAACCCACGTCATGGCAAGCAACGGACACGACCAAAATGCAAATCTACCAGACTTTGAGAACCACCGAGGACGTCTGAACCGATACTAGTTTAGTTTTTGATGCGTCCCCGTCATGCTGTAATCTATGGCGTGTAATGCTAACTCTAGCTGCTATGCTAAGTCCACACTGTCAGGCCTTTTTACAAGTACAGACGAGAAGCCTAGCTAGGTCTGAACATCAGTACAGTCTGTAACTAACTTAAAGAGTAACTTATAGCTCCCAAAAATGTAATTCTTTCTCAAAAACAGCCTCATAAAAGGTGTACACAAGGCATAAGTTGGTGCTAAGTAAAGTTAAGATCCTCCTCATGCAGTAGCGGCCATTGTTTTTTCCGAGAAGGTCGTCCAGACGGTGAAAAAACGTAGGGATTGTGGTCGAGAAAGTTGCCGATTTTGATGGTTTTCAGAAATGGTGCTGTATGCGACAGTGAGCCCGAGAAACTTTTGGTTGAATGTTAGCAGCCAAAATGAGGGTATTGTACACGTCCGTAGAAAAGGCCTCGGGGGCGGGGCTTAAAACAGCGCCCTACACAAGTGCATTGTGGGAGCGGTCAGACGCAGGTGCCCTGGTGTGTCGGAGCCAGCGCTTTCCTGTTTTTGAACGCCAGGGACTTGTCTTTAAAGTCCGAGGCTTTCTGCTGAGAGACGTCGATGAGAGCACTGGCCACGATGAAGCCTGGAGGAAGAACAAAGGGTTAGAATCATGTGACATCACCACATCCCAAAGAACAGATACTTTAAAGAAGACATTATTTTTAGACTGTTCTCTTTGTCATTTCATGTTTTAGAATGTGCAATAACCTCCTCAGTAGAAAACAAACTGAGTTAAGTGTCAAGACTAAACAATGATTTTCAGGCTGTAACTCTCTGTGCGGCCACCAGAGGGACATTTGAAAATCACTTGCTGCAAACACACCCATGAGAGCATAGTGCATGTTATTTGACCTGAGAAATTGCTAAAACTAATATCCTTTTGTTGTAAAAGGCAGAGAACTGCTCTGAGCGTGAGGTCCCAGTCGTACAATGACATCATAACCGTCCCACTGTGGCACTTCCCATTGGTCTCCCATCACAGTACTGACCAGGCCCTGCCCTGCTTTGCTTCAGAGGTCTGATCAGGGACCTTGCTTTTCACCTTCAGACGGCTGCTTCTGGTTTTCCTCTGGACTGAACACCTGCAGGGACTTCAGTCTACGGACGGGTTTGAGAAACGTGATAATTTAGGCCCGTTGCCGTAGAAACCGTCCATTAAAACACATTTATATCTTTGCTTTGAAGTCTGCCCTCAGCTGTGTCTTATAATGATAAGAATAATAATAATCTTAATAATAATCTGTGTTTAATAATAATAATAATAATCTGTGTCTGTGGTTTAGTATAAAAAAGGCTGAAATAGTTATTATGAAATTATGAAAATCAGTCTCAAATAAAAATATTGGTTGATGCAAAAGTGAAGACATTAAATAAAAACAAATTGTGCAAAGTATTTTAAATGAAGGAAAAAGCAGCGACTATTCTCGACCCCATTTTCTACAGATATTGTTGTTATAAGCAGGGCAGGGCCTGGTTAGTTCTGTGATGGGAGACCTCTGGGAACACAGTTTGGTAGTGAGACTCTGACACTGACTTTAGCTGCTTCTAAACGGACAGTTTAGTTTAGTTTAGTTTAGTTTATTTTGAAACATGTGCATACTTCCTACATAAGCCGTAGAACAAAACCAAAATTTCTAATCCATTCACATGTTCAAAAGGGAGTAGGAAGAAGCAAAAGCTTATATGGTCCTACCCCTCGTTTACAAAATACGTTATTTATGTGGAAACAAGGGAGATGGTGCAAAATTTACAAGTGTACAAACAAACAATAACATATATTTCTCTAAAAAAGGTAAATACAAGATTAAATGTGTGTATGTAGTTTAACGCATACACACACACACATCTATACACATATACATACATACTCATACGAACATATACACACCATTATACTCTTCATGTGTTCGGTCATTGAGTTTACTGGGCAAAACCTCATTCTTCTTTACCGTATTCCTCAATTAGTTGTTTTTTATATAAACTTTTGAAGTGCAGAATGGTGCTGCTTTGTTTTAATTCCTCTGACAGACTGTTCCATAGTTTAACGCCACCAATAGAAACATTGAAACCTTTCATAGTTGTTCTTACATATTTTACTTTAAAGTTTAGCTTTCCTCTTAGATTGTATTTCCCTTCCCTCTCTGAGAACAATGCCTGAATGTGACCCGGAAGTAACTTATTTCGAGATTTAAGCTATACAGGGAGTAGTAAAAGTAGAAATAAATAAATATGAATCATAATAGAATGAGAAAAAATCAGAACACATACACAATATGAGAAGTGAGTCAAAGAAAACACGATAAAAGCTTTTTACATCTGTTGAATTCTCCACTCCTTAAAGTTTGTGTGCGAGGTTGAACTATAATTAGGCCCGAGCCCCAATTATAATTAGGCCCGAGTAATTATTAAATTACAATTGTACTCAGATTTCTGTAGATTATGCTAGATTTTTTTACACACATTTTATCCCGGTTTGGTAATTTTACTTCCTGGTTGTTGGTGACATCATGCTATGGACTGAGCTTGAAGAGGGCGGAGCTTTGAGGTCTTACTCTATTATTCCACTTTGTCATGGTGTGGATTTTGTGTTTGGTTTATATTGACATTAGTTCTCTATGGTTTCATTTTTAGCTTCACTTCCTCTGCTGTATCTCTGTTTTATTGTCAGCCCCACCCTGATGTGTTTCACCCGTGTCAATACCATAGACTGTATATAATAACGGACAGAGTCACGCCTATCTCCGCCGTTCATAGGAGTTGGCCATGAAAAGTGCTTTCATGGAGCAATCCAAGATGGCCGCGAGTGGTCCCGCCCACAAGAAAATTGTGGAAAAACGCATCTGTGCATGCGTCAGCTGGCGCAGCTCCATTCATTTGAACGAGAGACTTCAAAAATTCCCCGCGAGTAAACTAGAGTGGACCAAAACAATCCCTCAGCATTGACACACATGTGGAACGGAGCTTTGGGCCAAGAGACAACTTTTGGTCCATCCTGTAAAGACGTTTTTGAGAGGTCTGCCAATGCTATATGTTAGCATTGGCTAATTCTACTTCTGGGTCCACCCCCACAGGCCCGGGGTGGTATTGCAGCATGTCAGCGCACGTCATTTTGGCCACTTTTGAGCTGGGACCCTCCCCCACTGGTTTTCAACACAGATTCTAAGAACAAAACAGAACATCGAATCTTCAAAAATGGAACACAGACACCAGGCTTAATCTGCGCTTGAAAACAACTACAATTTATTACATCATCAAAGAAAGTCTCTAAAAATCAGCAGGTGGAGTGACGTCTGCTTGAGTCTCTCTGGACTCAGTGGGCTGTCCTTCTCCGGGTTCTGTTCCACTGAAACTTCTCTCGTGGTGAATGCGATGGTGTCGGTTTGCTTCACTTCTGGTTAAGAAGGACTTCTCACAGTGGTCACAGGGATAAGGTTTTTCTCCAGTGTGGACACGTTTGTGGGTCTTCAGGGCATCGCTCCGAGCAAAGGACATTTCACAGAGGTCACAGGGATAGGGTTTTTCTCCAGTGTGGACACGTTTGTGGGTCTTAAGAGTGCTGCTCTGAGTAAAGGACTTTTCACAGAGATCACAGGGATAAGGTCTTTCTCCAGAGTGGACACGTTGGTGACTTGTGAGAGACGACTTGGTTTGGAACAGTTCCCCGCAGACTTCACAGGGGTACCTCCTCTCTGCACGCTGCCTTTCTCTGTCGCTTCTGCCTCTGTCAGATGTTGAGTCTGTTGTTGGTCCATGTCCTTCAGCTTCAGGGTTTGGAGCATCCTCCTGGAGAACCGTGTCCGTCTCTTGAACACAGGCTACTCCAGGTTCCTCTTTGATCTTCACTGTGGACTTGTTCTGGTCCTCGTCGTCCCTGGGTCCGAGCACAAGGTCCTGCTCTTGTGTTGGATGTAGAGCTACTGGTTCATCTGCATCTATAGAGAGAGAAGTGTTTACAAGACTGGACTGAGAGGACATCAGTAAGTATAGATACAAGAAGAAGTCAAGAACTCTACAGTCTCCATGTCCAGTTCAATGATCCTCTGATGGAATTGATGTAAACCCAGACTCTGACGTGCTAAGTTAGGTTAAGTTACAATAAGTCAATTACATAGTTTTCCTACAGTTTGTCAGATCCAGAAAAGCTGTGTTGTGAATAGAAGAGGACCAGACCTGAAGCTGGATTCAGAGGCTCCAGTCTTCCTCCCTGTGGCTCCAGTCCCTGCAGAGACCGCTCCACCAGATCCAGAATGCACTGTTTCGTTGTGGTCAAAGTCTCATGAAGATGTGACCTCAGCAGCTGCAGCAGGGGCTCCTTCACAGACTCCATTGTTGAGAAGTTGTGAGGAGTAAATTCTTCCTCTGGTCTCTCTCTATGGGTTCTCTTTCTGGTCTCTCTGATTCCTCTAGTTTCTCTCTGCTCTCTGCCAAAACCAAGTGGAGATCTTTTAAAAGTAAACAGTGTTTGAGAGTCAACACTTTGAGGATCTCAGTGAATCCTGTTGCCGTGGCGACTGTGTTTGAAGAAGAGAAGTCGATCAGAGGATGAATGAGATCACATTGAGGTTTAATTATGTATTTGTGTCTCTCTGGTCTCTCTCTGGCCTCTCTCTGGTTTGAAACTGCCCCTTTCAGTCAATAAAAGAACAGTTAAATCCGCTATCAGCTTCTGAGTTATTAAGTTTATAGTTTAAGATTTCCCTGGCGGCGGGGAAACTTACGCCTTTAGATTGAGACGGGGGGGGATCTGAACCAGATTGTTGCATTTTTTATAAATTTGGGCCTTTTGGGGATAAGTTTACCTCCTTTCTTTTTTTTTGGTGCCCTCATTTCAAAGTTAAATAAAAATAACCCATTTTTTCCTGTACTTGGTTTTTCTGGTTTATGACTTGTAGGGGTAAATAAAAGCACACATTCTGTTGATTAATCAAGGGTTCAAGGATTTTTTTTTAATACACATCATTCTAATTTCCAATCCCATTATGTTAGTTATCACAACTCTTTAGGTATAAGACAAATATTGGGCAATTTTATCGGGTTCGGGGGCACGTTGGACATTTATTCGGGTAATGGGTATATATTATTTTTGGCTTAACAAAACTAACTCTACAAACAAAGTTAAGGTTGGGGGGCGGAGTTGTTTCGAGAGTGGAATCGATGGAGTTGGACCATTGTATTCCTAGTTTCCCCCATGTGTCAGAGGAGCCACCGTGCAAAATGTAGGTTAAAATGAAAATGTATTTGGCCCCTAAGTTATGGCCCTAAGTATGACATCATAAAATAATATTTATAAACCGGTAGCAAAACTGTGTGTGAGAAATCATTCAGAAAACTACTTTTTCAATGCTATATGTTTATTTATTTGTATCTTCTTCTTTCTCTGTCTGATCTATTCAAGTCCTGATGGTTTCATAAAGAGGCTGTGAGCAGGAAGTGGATAAAGCTGAGAGCTGCAGGTGAAGAGGTCCAAGCTGGTTTTTAAGTCGTACATTTTCAGACTCGTTCCAAAACAACATTTAGACGCAGAAGAGAAGAAGGTGTCGGACTCTCCTCCTCAAAACCTACAGCTGCTAACAGAACTGTTCTAGTCTGTGTGTTCCAAGGCTGAGAGTCCTTCCCCTTCGTCTCTCTCTGACCATGTGGCTTTGAACGTCCTGAAAATGTACAACTGCAAACAGCTGAATAAACTAGAAGTCTAGTCTATTCTTCTGTTGGGTCCACCTTAAACCCTTACCAAACAGCCTAAAAAACCTTTACAGGTCTATTCTTCTGTTGGGTCCACCTTAAACCCTTACCAAACAGCCTAAAAAACCTTTACAGGTCTATTCTTCTGTTGGGTCCACCTTAAACCCTTACCAAACAGCCTAAAAAACCTTTACAGGTCTATTCTTCTGTTGGGTCCACCTTAAACCCTTACCAAACAGCCACGTCCCACCCGCCTCCCAACCTCTTTGTTCAGACTACATTTAAGACTTGTGATTAGCAGCGACAGCGTCTGACTTGTGCTGCTGAGAACGTTGTGTTTTCTTACTGCTCAAACATTTTCATGAGAGCTGCAACGTTCTTCCCCTTCACCCTGTCCCTCTTCAGACAGGATCCCTGCTTCTGCATGTCCTGCTCCTCTTTCTCCTCAAATAATTGTGTCAGATTTTTTAGATTTCCTTGGAGCCCTCTGCATTCTTCCTTCAAAGCAGGTTGGTCTTCACTGGTTTCTCTGGTGTCTAAAGGTTGGTCTTCACTGGTTTCTCTGGTGTCTAAAGGTTGGTCTTTACTGGTTTCTCTCGTGTCTAAATCCTCACTTATTTTAAGCTTAGTCTGCTCCACAGTTTGCGTCTGCATTTCACACGTGCACGTCTTTCTCTGGTTAGAAGTCTCTATTTGTTTCTCCAAACTCTTGCGAACAGCCACTTCCTCCTCTAAGAACTTGTTGAAAACCCTGAGTTCCTCCAGGTGCTCCTGTAAGAACGTCTTCTGTGAAATCTTCTGCTGTTTCAGTTTGTCGTGGGCTTGTTCCAGTTCCTCTTTGAGCTTTCTCCGCTCACTCTCAAACTCCACCTCTTTGTCGTGCAGAGACTTCTCCAAACTGTGACGTTCTTCTTCCATGTTTTCCGTTTCTATCCAGTCCAGCTGCTGCATCGTGACAGTCTGTGTCTGTGTTTCGCAGGTGGATGGCTTGTTTTGGATCGCTCTGTCTGTTCCCATCTGTTTAAGACGACTCTGGCAAAGCTGAAGCTCTCTCTCCAACTCTCTGGTCTCCATCTCCCACTTCTCACTTTCTATCTCCCGTTTTCTACGTTCTTCCTTCAGGTCGAGCTCAGTGTTTACCAAGTTCTGTTTAGTCTGTTCGAACTCTGTCTCCAGACTTAGGCTTCGGTCGGCGAACCAAGAATACTCCTCCTTCATGTCTTCAAACTCCTGCAGTTGGCGTTCGAGGACCTCAATCTTCTTGCATTCACTTTCCTTTTCTCTAAGTTCTTGTTCTAAGGTTTTGCGAGCAGAGACTTGTTTTTCCAAACTCTGCTTTACAGACCTTAGCTCCTCAAAGCTCTTTGTGAGCACTTTCTTCTGTCGCTGCTGCAGCTCAGTCAGTTTCTCACACGTCTCTTTACGTTCAGTCTCGTTTCTGGCCAAACTTTGCTTCGCTTGTTCCAACTCTTCCTCCAGACTTTCATTTCTCTTCAGAGACCAAGAATACTGCTCTTTGACCTCTTCAAACTCCTGCAGTTGGCGTTTGAGGACCTCGACCTCCTTGCAATCACTTTCCTTCACCTTCACTTTTTCTAATTTTTTGCAAGCTGAGACGTATTCTTCTAAACACTTCTTTACAAACTCCATCTCCTCCAAGTTTTCCTCCAACACTTCCTTCTGGAGAAGCTGCAGCTCAGTCGCAAACTCCATCTGCTCAAAGTGCTCCTTCTTCTCCTTCTCCAGACTGAGGTTTCTCTCCACAGTCCAAGAATGCTGCTTCTTCAGGTCTTCAAACTCCTGCAGTTGGAGTTCTAACATCTCAGTCGTTTTCTCACAAACCTCTCTATGTTCAGTCTCGTTTCTCTCTAACAGTTCTTTGGCTTGTTCCAGCTCTTTCTCCAGACTTTCATTTCTCTTCAGAGACCAAGAATACTGCTCTTTGACCTCTTCAAACTGCTGCAGTTGGCGTTTGAGGACCTCGACCTCCTTGCATTCACGTTCCTTCTCAGTTAGCTTTTGTTCTAGAGTCTGGGAAGCTGCGACCTGTTCGTCCAAACACTTTTGAACAAACTCCATCTGCTCAAAGTGCTCCTTCTTCTCCTTCTCCAGACTGAGGTTTCTCTCCACAGTCCAAGAATGCTGCTTCTTCAAGTCTTCAAACTCCTGCAGTTGGAGTTCTAACATCTCAATCCTCTTGCGTTCACTTTCTCTGGCTTTAAACTCTCGCCCTAGACTTTCTCGAGCAGAGATGTGTTGGTTCAAAGCCGTGCGAACGACCTGGATCTCCTGCTGCAGACTTTGGTGTAACTTCTGGATCTTCATCAGTTTCTTCTCCTGCTGCTCCATCTTTGAGGTCAGGGTGGAGTCAGTGGGAACGTCTCCCAGCTCCTGACCTTCTGTGGTCAGTGAGATCTTCTCCATTCTCACTGCAGCGTGACGTAGGTTCAAAACTCGTCGAACTTGAAGGACGTCTTTTTCTCGCTTCTATCTCGGTTTTTCTCTGTTGCTTTCTGACCCGTTTCTCCGGACTCCAAACACTGTTAGTCTGAGTTTGACGTTCCCCTAAGGCCAGTTTTTTAGGCTTTGTGACATCATCGTTGCTTTGACGTAACACTGTTCTGGAACCCAATGATCTGGTTGCTAGGATACAGAGGGACTGTTGCCATAGTAACGTGTGTGTGTGTGTGTGTGTGTGTGTGTGTGTGTGTGTTGGACTGAATCCTGGACCGCTGCTGGTTCTGCGAAGAGTCACTAGTTACCATAGCAACACACTGTTTACCTGCAGCAGTTATTTAAACTTATATTAACCAGTTTGAGCATGGGTTTAAGAAAACTTATCATTTCTTATTCACGTTAACTTTCCTCATTGTTCCATAAATCTGGGATGGTGGTTTTTAAAAGCATGAGTTTGTGGCAGATGTTGCGTCGGCTCGAGGGAGCTCCCGGTGCGATAACAAGTTTTCTTATATCTATAACTTATACAACACTTATCTCTCTTCACTGTTGTGAGAAAGATTGTAGATGTAATTTAGCTGTTTGTTTAATAGCAGAAGTCACATCACATCAGAATCAGAATTATCTAAATCTCTATTTTCAGAAACAGTGAGTCACAAACTCTGAATTTACTTTGGATTTTGGTGCAAACAAGTCACAAAAGTGAAAGTACTTTTAATAAAAACTCTTCAAACCATTACTTAAATGACTGCTACATACAAGTGCTCAAAGGACACACAATAGACTGTTTACAGATGGACTATGCTAACCCGCTAGTTTGATCAAGTCCGATAGGGAAGTGCTCGTGGACAAAGTTGCGCTCCCATGTGGGGTAAACAATGGGTCCAAGCAAAGAGTAAATACAGTAGATAAAAAGCAAAAGAACTAGACTCATATTTAGTTTAATCATTGTAAATCTGTTTATTGCTTCATCGTTATTAACTGGTATAAAAACATGGAACTGGATCTGGGAGTATCAGGCCCGATCTACAGACTCTCATTACTAATGCATGACTCTCGTCCACATGAAACACGACTCTGCTCCACGGAAATGTCCTCGCTCCATTTCAGATCAGAGTCCACCTCAATCTGATTAATTCTCTTAATTACACACAATACTCCAGTCTCACCAACACATACTTCCTGGTACTTATTTATGTACCACTAAATACTGGTACTTATACTTATTTTGAGAGGTTATGAATTGATAAAATGACAAACATAAGTTAATCTTAGTCGACTTCTGAGTTATTTTGATATAATTAAGACGCTCTAAAGATTCTTCGACTTGTCATAAAACTATAAATCTCTGATTCTTGCAGATGATAAAACATGGTTCTTTTCTACAAAGTGTTAAAGCAGTTATTCTTCAGGTCGAAGGATCAGAGCAACACAACAACACACATCTGTCATACTGCTACACAACAACACACATCTGTCATACTGCTACACAACAACACACATCTGTCATACTGCTACACAACAACACACATCTGTCATACTGCTACACAACAACACACATCTGTCATACTGCTACACAACAACACACATATGTCATACTGCTACACAACAACACACATCTGTCATACTGTTACACAACAACACACATCTGTCATACTGCTACACAACAACACACATCTGTCATACTGCTACACAACAACACACATCTATCATACTGCTACACAACAACACACATCTGTCATACTGCTACACAACAACACACATCTGTCAAAGCACTCGTCTCGGGGGGGGGGGACACCATCAAAGCACTCGTCTCGGGGGGGGGGGACACCATCAAAGCACTCGTCTCGGGGGGGGGGGGGCACTCATCACGGGGGAGATTACATCACTCTTCAGTAATTAATAGTTTACTTTTGTGGAGGATGTTGTGTTTGACTGGTCTGGTCTGGTCTGGTCTGGTCTGGTCTGGTCAGGGCGTGCCGAAGCCGGTGGCAGTGGAGCCGTGTTCTGGAGGAAAAGCAGCGGTTCTGACGGTTCTGATGCGACTGCCCTCTGGACCCTCGGGACTCCCCCCACCGGGACAATCAGGTGACTGTCAAAGCAATAAAAAATGCACTGTAGGGGTGTTTCTGGATTTTAGTAAAGCGTTTGATACCATCAATCATAGCCTACTCATTAAAAAAATGGAGCGGTATAGAGTAAGAGGAACAGTGTCAACATGGCTTAAAAGTTATATAAGTCATCGTAAACAATTTGTGCAAATAAATGATACCTCATCTGATATGTTAGAAATAAAACATGGAGTGCCCCAAGGTTCTATATTGGGGCCAAAGTTGTTTTTAATGTATGTCAATGACTTATGCAATGTATCAAATACCATGAAATTTGTAACTTTTGCCGATGACACAAATGTATTTGCATCTGGAGAGGATTTGCAGCAGACTTTGGATCTGGTCACACAGGAAATGAAGAAAATTAAAAAATGGTGTGACATAAATAGATTATCTTTGAATTAAAAAAAAACTAAATTCATGGTTTTCGGAAAGAACAAAGAAAACATAACCTTAAAACTCAGCATTGATCATGTTGAATTATCACAAGTTGATGAAATAAAATTTCTTGGTGTGATTTTAGACAAGAAATTCTGCTGGAAACCCCATATAAAACACATCCCGTCCAAGCTAGTGCGGTGGATCGCTATCATGGGCAAAACTAGGAATGTTTTAAGCCAAAAGGCTTTACAGATACTATACAACGCATTATTCTTGCCATATCTGAATTACTGTGTCGAGGTGTGGGGAAACACCTACAAAACAAATATCCATCCGGTCACAATCCTGCAGAAAAAAGCTGTAAGAATAGTAAACAATAAAAGTTATCAACATCACACAAATGCTCTGTTCCTACACATGAGAACGCTCAAGTTCATTGATATTGTTAAATTCAAAACAGCACAAATTCTTTTTAACTTTTTGGAAACGCGAACCAGACAACTGGAAAGGAGCTGGTGATATATTTCCTGAGGGTGAGGACTGTGTGATGATGACTGCCAGACAAAGAAACAAAGTGGAGAAAAATTTACTGTGGTTCAAGAGAAAACTTCATGTGTGAGAAGCCGTCTTGCACATGAAAGACTGGAGGGGTCTCTCTCCTTTCGCCGCTGTTTCACTCGTTTTTTGATGTTCTTCTTTTGTGTGTGTATACTCCGACCACATCATCTAACCGCTGGTATAACAACACATTTACCTGTATTTAAAGTCAGAAGAAAACGTGTGTGGCTTGTGTGCACCGCAGTGATTTGTTCAGAGGACTCTCTGTGCAGTCTCTCTCTGGTCTCTCTCTCTCTCTCTGTAGTCTCTTTCTCTCTGGTCTCTCTCTCTTTTGTCTCTATCTCTCTGCTCTCTCTCCTGTCTCTAATCTCTCTCTGGTTTATCTCTGTAGTCTGTCTGGTCTTTCTCTCTAGTCTCTCTCTGGTCTCTCCTCTGGTCTTTCTTATGGTCTCTCTCTGGTTTCTCTCTCTAGTCTCTCTCTGGTCTCTATAGTCTCTCTCAAGGGTCTCACTGCTCTCTCCTCTGGTCTCTCTCTCTTTTGTTTCTATCTCTCTGCTCTCTCTCCTGTCTCTAATCTCTCTATGCTCTCTCCTCTGGTTTCTCTCTATTCTCTCTACCTGGTCTCTCTCTACTTTCTTTCTAGTCCCTCTCATCGCTCAGTCTCTCTCTGTCTCTCCCTCTCTCTAGTCTCTCTCTGGTCTCTCTCTCTGGTCTCTCCCTGTGGTCGCCCCGGCACTTGATGGCCCTGTATTTAGAGAAATACAAAAAATACAACATGTTTAGGGACATAAACCAAAAATAACCTTTTGAATTATGTTCTTCATATGATATTTCAAATAATATACATTTATTTGTATATAATATAATGATATATATTTACAGTACGGAGTCACTTCTCATTATTATTGTATTACCCTGTTTATTTGCACTCAGAGACACTTCCTTTAGTGAAGTACTTTAGCTTGTATAGATGAGTAGGTTATTAGACCATATGTTTGTATGTCTTCACAAAGGAGATGTCTACTGCATGTGGTGCTGTTTCACTTTTAATTAAACTCTGTAACGGCTGTGTGTATGTTTTTCTATGAAAAAAAAAAAAAAAACAAAAAAAGGTGGTCCTCTTAACTGTCAATCATTCTGCTGATACGCGCTCGTCAAATAAGACCAGGGAGTTTTGTTCAAAAGGTGGAGAGGGCGCTTACCTTTAATACATACAAGAGCCAACTTTTGGACCATCCTGTAAAGACGTTTTCCAATCTGGAGGTCTGCCAATGCTATATGTTAGCATTCGCTAATTCTTCTTCTGTCAGCGCACGTCATTTTGGCCACTTTTGAGCCGGGACCCGCCCCCACTGGTCAAGACGTAACGTGGGATGAACCAAAATAAATCCAAGTCCAGATCTGTGTTTTCTGTCTGGGGTTGTACCGTAACCCTTATGCTGTGTTTTCAAAAGTGCAAACTCTACATTCTAAGAACACCAATCTTTCTTCTAAGAATAGTGTGTAGCTATGTAAGTAAGTAAGTAAGTAAGCTTTATTTATATACCGCCTTTCACAGACCAGAGTCACAAAGCGGTTTACAATTGTTATTTTTTGGGCACTTGTCCTCTCACTCCACACAGAGACAGGAGTGGGGTCGCCGAACAGGAGGCGCATGCCAGACCTATTGTACATATTTTTAGTTGTAGGGGAAACCGGAGTACCCGGAGGAAACCTACGCAGACACAGGGAGAACATGCAAACTCCACTCAGAAAGGCCCTGGTCCGGCCGGGATTCGAACCCAGGACCTTCTTGCTGAGATGGTAACCATATAACAACCACGTCAACATGTGACATCACAATAGATTCATAATAGATTCTGAGTTTCAGTTTAGGAACCCAGAGCAGAGTCTGATCTGCCGACCTAAGCAAACGTTCATGAGAAGTCCCCCTCAGCAGCACAGAAATACTTTGGATAAAACAAAGAAAGGCAGGCTCCGGATCACCTTCCTCCGTTAGAGGAAGTAAGTAACAAGATGGAGCCTATGGACGAGATAACATTGCTAAGATTTGAAAATCAAAGCCTTATGGCAGAGATTGTGGAGAAAGATCTTCGGATCTCCACTCTGAGAAAGGAGTCTGAAGATCTGAAGGCCAGTAAATATCGGGACTTTCAGTATTTAGCGACTAAATATTGGTATTCATCTGGCTCGGTCTCAGCTGTGGCTACAGCCGTGCAGACCCCGATGACCATCGAGGATGTAGCGGCCGGAGAGAGAGTAGATTGTGGTCTACAGGTGAATATGGGGGATGCTGACATGCTGGAGCAGGAGCAAAATTAGCTCTAGGAAGCGTCAAACCAGGGTAGCTTTTGGTTTAAAATCAAGAACGTGGCCAAGAACGTGGCGGTGACCAGTCTGTCGTTAGTGGCTGTAGGTTACTGCTGCTTTTCTTTTTATTCCACGTCTGGACACCAGATGTTTACAGACCTTCCCCCATTTTAAGCACTGGTTGGTTCTGGGTGATTATGTGAACCAATGCCTGTCATAGGCATTGGTTCACGGAAGTCAAGGGTTAGGTTTAGAGAATGACCGGAGTATGACCGGGTTAGAGGCTTAGGTTTAGAGTTATGGTTAGTGATAGGGGGTTAGAGTAGGGTTAGGGTTAGAGGGTTAGGTTTAGAGTTAGGCTTAAGGTTAGGGGTTAGAGTCAGAGTTAGGATTAGAGGGTTAGAGTAGGGTTGGGGCTAGGGCTGGGCGGCGATATGACAAAAAAGTAAAATCTTTATTTTATTTCCTGCATTGGAAAATTTCGATTTTAAATCGATTTTCATTAAAGTCACTGAAGACAGACTTTGCCCCTAAAATATTTTTTGATCTTTCCGCTCAATATTCAAGTTTCAAAACTATTTTTAATTTGTTTCCCCCAATACGTATTATAAAAGACTGTGCTGATATTGCAAGTATAATTGATGTGCTGCTGGAAATCTCACAACATCCTTCATTCAATTTCACGATTTTCACATTTTTCACAAATTCGATTTTTTCAAAATATAATTTATTGCCTAAATTTGATTTATTGGCCATCCCTAGTTGGGGCTAGAGGACAACCGGAGTATGATTCACGATGATTACATATATAATCATGTGAATCAAAGACTTCTCCAAACCCTGAGCCCAAACTAAACCTGGAATGCAAGAGATAACACCTTAACTCCGAATCTGGCACAGTATTATACTAATAAAAATGAACCAGTGCAATGTGGTTTATTACCACAAAAATCACTCTACATCATCTAAACCAGTGTAGCTTCAAAAATTAGCTTAAAAATTTTGACCTGTTAAACTGTGTGCGGACTCTGATATTTTACCTATATTTTTATTTGTATTTAGGGCCGAGCCCCGAACGAGCTAAGGGCCAATTGCTTTCATAATGGTGAATGCAAGGGGTGGTGGTGCGTGTCCGTCACTCACCAAAACGTGACGGTTGCGTGCGTAAACTCAAACGCTTTAAAATGATGTATCAGGTGCCATTGAAACCTATATTGTTTTTGCTCGGAGACATTCAAAAAAATTCCTTTTTTATTAGGCCCAAGCCCCGAATGGCTTAAGAGTCCTTGTATCACACTCAAGGGAAAAAAGATTCTGCAACTGGTCCCACCTGACGCCCTAAAAGAACTGGTTTTGGCGCTGCTTCATCGGGAGCATGAGCATCAAGGTAGTGAGTGCACGTCTGAGCTCATTCACCAGCGACGTTACTGGCCCCAGATGTATGCTGAGATCCAGAGATGGTGCAAATAATGTGAGCGTTGTCAAGTGGCCAAAGGGACACGAGCTGGTGGGTCATACATGGGACACCTGCTGGCCTCTCGCCCTAATCAGATATTGGCCATCGACTTTACTATTCTGGAACCCTCACAGAATGGAATGGAAAAAGTGATGGTAATGACCGATGTATTCTCCAAATACACCCAAGCCGTGCCAACTCAGGACCAGAAGGCATCTACTGTTGCCAGGGTCCTTGTCATGGAGTGGTTCTACAAATTCGGAGTGCCAGCACGCATCCGCTCTGATCAGGGAAGACTCTTCGAGAGCTTGTTTATCCAGCAGCTGTGTCAAATGTACAATGTCAAAAAGACTCACACCACGCCCTACCACCCCGCTGGGAATGGGCACTGCGAGAGGTTCAATCGGACACTCCATAACCTCCTGCGCACCCTGCCTGTCACCAAGAAGCGAGTCCAGAACCAGAGAGAGTCCAGTCTGAGTCAGAGAGTCCAGTCTGAGCCAAAGAGAGTCCAGTCTGAGTCAGAGAGAGTCCAGTCTGAGTCAGAGAGTCCAGTCTGAGCCAAAGAGAGTCCAGTCTGAGTCAGAGAGAGTCCAGTCTGAGTCAGAGAGAGTCCAGTCTGAGTCCGAGAGAGTCCAGTCTGAGCTGAACCAGAGAGAGTCCAGTCTGAGTCAGAGAGAGTCCAGTCTGAGCCAAAGAGAGTCCAGTCTGAGTCCGAGAGAGTAAGTAAGTAAGTAAGTTTTTATTTATATACCGCCTTTTCACTGCAGATCTGAGTCTCAAAGCGGTTTACAATTGTTAATTTTGGGCATTTGTCTCTCACTCCACACAGAGATGGGAGCGGGGCCAGTACAGGAGGCACATGCCAGAACTATTGGACATATTTTTAGTGGTAGGGGAAACCGGAGTACCCAGAGGAAACCTACGCAGACACGGGGAGAACATGCAAACTCCACTCAGAAAGGCCCTGGTCCGACCGGGATTCGAACCCAGGACCTTCTTGCTGAGAGGCGAGAGTGCTATCCACTCAGCCACCGTGCCATACTTGTTCAACCAATACTAAAGAAGTTTAAAGACAGTATTAACCCAAGTAGATGTTGTTTATAATAAAGAAGCATAGACAATATTTTTAACCTTCTGCACACTTCTGTCATTTGCACAATCTGAGTGATTCTATCTCTCTCTAGTGTGAGATCAATAAAGTCTATCTTATCTTACTACTTAATGCTTCTTTGTTTTGCTAAAGTTAGAGATTTTATTGTATTTTAGTATAGAGTTATGGTTCATTTATCTGTAACTTGGTCGGCACAGTGGCTGAGTGGTTAGCAAGAAGGTCCTGAGTTGGAAGCCTGGTCGTTTCTGAGTGGAGTTTGTATGTTCGCCCCGTGTCTGCGTAAGTTTCCTTCAGGTGCTCCGGTTTCCCCTTCCACTAAAAACATTTACATCAGGTCTGATGGTGCCTCCTGTACTGACCTCGCTTCTATCTCAGTGTGAAGTCAAGAGACAAATGTAACCACAATAACAGACGAATAAATACAGGATTATGATTATTATTATTACTATGCCCTTCTTATGGTTTTTCTCTATTATCTATCTCTGGTCTCTCTCTAGTTTCTTTCTAGTCCCTCTCATCGCTCAGTCTCTCTCTGTCTCTCTCTGGTCTCTCTCTGGTCTCTCTCTGGTCTCTCTCTGGTCTCTCTCTGGTCTCTCCCTGTGGTCGCCCCGGCACTTGATGGCCCTGTATTTAGAGAAATACATAAACCAAAAATAACCTTTTGAATTATGTTCTACATATGATATTTCAAATAATATACATTTATTTGTATATAATATAATGATATATATTTACAGTACGGAGTCACTTCTCATTATTATTGTATTACCCTGTTTATTTGCACTCAGAGACACTTTCTTTAGTGAAGTACTTTAGCTTTTATAGATGAGTAGGTTATTAGACCATATTAGCTGTCTACTGTATGTGTTGCTGTTTTATTTTTAATTAAACTCTGCTGTGTGTATGTTATTCCTTGATGTTTCAATGCAAAGGCAATCTTAAAGGTTTGTAGGAGGATTATCTACTTCCAGGTGGTCTTCCTAACTGTCAATCATTCTGCTGATACGCGCTCGTCAAATAAGACCAGGGAGTTTTGTTCAAAAAGTGGAGAGGGCGCTTACCTTTAATACGTTCTGACAAAAGTTTCTGTTCCTAAACTCACCACATGAGGGACACACACACACACAACTAGTCATTGTAAAGTAAGGAGTAAAAGTAAACTGTTATAAAGTACACAGAGTAAAACTTTCCTTCTACCTCTGGCTCTCAGACATTTTAGACTCAGCCCTGGTCTTTCTTTCAGTCAGATAAACTCTCAGTCTCAGCATTAATCACTCGTCAAGACCATAGACTGTATATATTAACGGACAGAGTCAAGCCTATCTCCGCCGTTCTAACTAATGGGCCAAAAATAGTGCTCTATTGGAACTATCCAAAATGGGAAAAAACGCATCTGTGCATGCGTCAGCCGGCGCAGCTCCATTCATGAGACTTCTAAAATTCACAGCGACTAAACTAGAGTGGTCCAAAAAAATCCACCCCCCTCAGCATTGACACACATGTGGAACGGAGCTTTGGGCCAAGAGCCAACTTTTGGTCCATCCTGTAAAGACGTTTTTGAGAGGTCTGCTAACGCTATATGTTAGCATTGGCCAATTCTTCTTCTGGGTCCACCCCCATCGGCCCGGGGTGGTATTGCAGCATGTCAGTGCACGTCATTTTGGCCACTTTTGAGCCGGGACCCTCCCCCACTGGGCAAGACGTAACGTGGGATGAACCAAAATAAATCCAAGTCCAGATCTGTGTTTTCTGTCTGGGGTTGTACCTTAACCCTTATGTTGTGTTTTCAAAAGTGTGTACTTCTAAGAATAGTGTGTAGCTATGGTAACCATGTAACAACCACGTCAACATGTGATATCACAATAGATTCATAATAGATTCTGAGTTTCAGTTTAGGAACCCAGAGCAGAGTCTGATCTGCCGACCTAAGCAAACGTTCATGAGGAGTCCCCCTCAGCAGCACAGAAATACTTTGGATAAAACAAAGAAAGGCAGGTTCCGGATCACCTTCCTCCATTAGAGGAAGTAAGTAACAAGATGGAGCCTATGGACGAGATAACATTGCATTCTCCACTCTGAGAAAGGAGTCTGAAGAGCTGAAGGCCAGTAAATATCGGGACTTACAGTATATAGCGACTAAATATTGGTATTCATCTGGCTCGGTCTCAGCTGTGGCTACAGCCGTGCAGACCCCGATGACCATCGAGGATGTAGCGGCCGGAGAGAGAGTAGATTGTGGTCTTACAGGTGAATATGGGGGATGACAATGACATGCTGGAGCAGGAGCAAAATTAGCTCCAGGAAGCGTCAAACCAGGGTAGCTTTTGGTTTAAAATCAAGAACGTGGCCAAGAAAGTGGCGGTGACCAGTCTGTCGTTAGTGTCTGAGTCCGAGAGAGTCCAGTCTAAGTCAGAGAGAGTCTAGTCTGAGCCAAAGAGAGTC